GTTGCCCCCTGCCCCCCCCCCCCCCACCCAATTTTTGGGTCAGTTTCCAGAATTTGGGGATTCAGTGCGTGAAGAAGCGCGAGCTGGAGGCGGCCGTGGCCGAGCGGATCCGCACCAACAACAACCCCTTCAACGGTACTGGGAGCACTGGGAGGGACTGGGAGCGACTGGGAGGGACTGGGAGGGGACTGGGAGGGGACTGGGAGGGAATGGGAGGGGACTGGGAGCGTCTGGGAGGGGATTGGGAGTTACTGGGATGGGACTGGGAGTTACTGGGATGGGACTGGGAGACACTGGTTTTTAATGGGAGGGCACTGGGAGGGACTGGGAGTTACTGGGAGGGCACTGGGAAGAGTCTGGAGGGACTGGGAGGGACTGGTTTTTACTGGGAGGGGCACTGGTGGGCACTGGGTGTTACTGGGAGGGGCACTGGGAGGCACTGGTTTTTACTGGGAGGGGCACTGGTGGGCACTGGGTGTTACTGGGAGGGCACTGGGAGGGGTCCTGGTGCTGCTGGGGGTGTCACTGGTGTGTACTGGTTTATACTGGTCCATACTGGGCAGTGCCAGGGGAGCAGCGCGGGGGTGGGTACGACCTGGGGGTGTCACTGGGGGGTGCCTGGGGGTGTCACTGGTTTATACTGGTTTTTACTGGTTTATACCAGTTCATACTGGTTCATACTGGTCCGTACTGGGCAGTGCCGGCGGAGCAGCGCGGCGGCGAGTACGACCTGGCCGCGGTCAGGCTCTGCTTCCAGGTGTGGGTGAGGGGCCCGGGGGGGCTGCGGCCCCTCCCCCCTGTCCTGTCCCAGCCCATCTACGACAACCGTGAGTGGGGACACCTGGGGACACCTGGGGACAGCTGGGGACAGCTGGGGGACATCCCTGGGGACACCTGGGGGACATCCCTGGGACACCTGGGGGACATCCCTGGGGCACCTGTGGGACCCCCACCCTGTGTCCCCAATGACCCTGCTGTGACCCCGCGGTGTCCCCTGTCCCCCGGTGACCCCGTGGTGACCCTGGTGACCCCGCGGTGTCCCCTGTCCCGTGGTGACCCTGATGTCCCCCGGTGACCCCGTGGTGACCCCGGTGACCCCGCGGTGTCCCCTGTCCCCCGGTGACCCCGTGGTGACCCTGGTGACCCCGCGGTGTCCCCTGTCCCCCGGTGACCCCGCGGTGACCCTGGTGACCCCGCGGTGTCCCCTGTCCCCCGGTGACCCCGCGGTGACCCCGGTGACCCCGCGGTGTCCCCAGGTGCCCCCAGCACGGCCGAGCTGCGCATCTGCCGCGTCAACCGCAACTCCGGGAGCTGCCGCGGCGGGGACGAGATCTTCCTGCTGTGTGACAAGGTCCAGAAAGGTGCGGGACACCCCGGGACACCCCGAAACTGGGACACCCTAAAACCTGGGACACCCTAAAACCTGGGGCACCCCGGGACCGGGACACCCCAAAACTGGGACACCCTAAAACCTGGGACACCCTAAAACCTGGGGCACCCCGGGACCGGGACACCCCAAAACTGGGACACCCTAAAACCTGGGACACCCTAAAACCTGGGACACCCTAAAACCTGGGACACCCCGGGACCGGGACACCCCAAGGCCAGGAACATCCTGAAATTGGGGCACCCTGAAACCTGGGACACCCCGAAACCTGGACACCCTAAAACTGGGACACCCCGGGACCGGGACACCCCAAAACTGGGACACCCTAAAACCTGGGACACCCTAAAACCTGGGACACCCCGGGACCGGGTCACCCCGAAACCTGGACACCCCGAAACTGGGACACCCCGGGACCGGGACACCCCGAAACCTGGACACCCTAAAACTGGGACACCCCGGGACCGGGACACCCCGAAACCTGGACACCCTAAAACTGGGACACCCCGGGACCGGGACACCCCGAAACCTGGACACCCTAAAACTGGGACACCCCGGGACCGGGACACCCCGAAACCTGGACACCCTAAAACTGGGACACCCCGGGACCGGGACACCCCGAAACCTGGACACCCTAAAACTGGGACACCCCGGGACCGGGACACCCCGAAACCTGGACACCCTAAAACTGGGACACCCCGGGACCGGGACACCCCGAAACCTGGACACCCTAAAACTGGGACACCCCGGGACCGGGACACCCCGAAACCTGGACACCCCGAAACCGGGATACCCTGAGACCAGGACATCCTGAACTTGGGACACCCTGAAACCTGGGACACCCCGAAACCAGGATACCCTGAGACCAGGACATCCTGAACTTGGGACACCCCAAAACCTGGGACACCCCAAAACTAGAACACCCTGAAACCAGGACACCCCGAAACCTGGGACACCCTAAAACCCGGGACACCCCAAGACGGGGACACCCTAAAACCCGGGACACCCCAAACCAGGGGATATCTGTGTCTGTGTTCCCATGGCCTGTCCTTGTCCCCAATGTGTCCCTGTTGCCATGCCCTGTCCCTGTCCCCCTGCCCTGTCACTGTCCCCAACGTGTCCCTACCCCGGTGGCCTGTCCCTGTCCCCAGCGTGTAGCTGTCCTGGTCGCTGTCCCTGTCCCCAGTGTGTCCCTGTCCCCATGCCCTGTCCCTCTCCTCGCAGTGTCCCCATGGCCTGTCCCTGCTCCCCTGGCCTGTCCCTGTCCCCAGCGTGTCCCTGTCCCCATGCCCTGTCCCTGTCCCCATCGTGTCCCTGTCCCCAGTGTGTTGCTGTCCTGGTCCCTGTCACTGTCCCCAACGTGTGTCTGTCCTCATGCCCTCTCCCTGTTCCCGCAGTGTCCCCATGCCCTGTCCCTGTCCCCGCTCCTGTCCCTGTCCCTGCCTCTGTCCCTGTGTCCCCGCGGTGTCCCCAGCATGTCCCCATCCCCATGCCCTGTCCCTGTCCCTGTCCCTGCGGTGTCCCCATGCCCTGTCCCCATCCCCAATCCCCATGCCCTGTCCCCGTCCCCGTCCCTGTGCCCATGTCCCCGCGGTGTCCCCATGCCCTGTCCCTGTCCCTGTGTCCCCGCGGTGTCCCCAGTGTGTCCCTGTCCCCATGCCCTGTCCCCATCCCTATGCCCTGTCCCTGTCCCTGCCCCTGTCCCTGTGTCCCCGCGGTGTCCCCATGCCCTGTCCCTGTCCCCATGGCCTGTCCCTGTCCCCATCCCTGTGCCCATGTCCCCGCGGTGTCCCCATGCCCTGTCCCCATCCCCAATCCCCATGCCCTGTCCCCGTCCCCGTCCCTGTGCCCATGTCCCCGCGGTGTCCCCATGCCCTGTCCCTGTCCCTGTGTCCCCGCGGTGTCCCCAGTGTGTCCCTGTCCCCATGCCCTGTCCCCATCCCTATGCCCTGTCCCTGTCCCTGCCCCTGTCCCTGTGTCCCCGCGGTGTCCCCATGCCCTGTCCCTGTCCCCATGCCCTGTCCCTGTCCCCATGCCCTGTCCCAGTCCCCATGGCCTCTCCCTGTCCCCAGCATGTCCCTGTCCCCCCGCAGAGGACATCGAGGTGCGTTTCTCGGCCGAGGGCTGGGAGGCCAAGGGTTCCTTCGCGCAGGCCGACGTTCACCGCCAGGTCGCCATCGTGTTCCGCACGCCGCCCTTCCGGGACCCCGCGCTGCGCGCGCCGGTCACCGTGCGCATGGAGCTGCAGCGGCCCTCGGACCGCCAGCGCAGCGCCCCCGTGGACTTCAGATACCTGCCCCACCAGGGTGGGCTTGGGCAGGGGTCTGCAGGGGGCTACTGGCAGTTATGGGGTCTTCTTGTGGGGCTGGGGGTGATGCAGGGTCCCTTTGGGGCATTCCAGCTCCATGGAGCTGCAGCTCCCCCATGGACTTCAGATACCTGCCCCACCAGGGTGGGCTTGGGCAGGGGGCTGCGGGGGGCTAGGGGCACTTATGGAGTCTTTTTGTGGGGCTGGGGGTGATGCAGGGTCCCTCTGGGACATTCCCGGGTGACTTTGGGGCATTCCCGTGTCCCTGGATGCTGCTGATTCCTATTCCCATTGCAGTTCCCATTGAGTTCCTGTTCCTGCCCCAACAGGGTGGGCTTGGGGAGGGGTCTGCAGGGGGCTAGGGGCACTTACAGGGTGTTTTTGTGGGGCTGGGGGTGATGCAGGGTTCCTCTGGGACATTCTCAGGTGACTTTGGGGCATTCCCGGGTCCCCAGAGCTGCAGTTCCCATTGAATTCCTGTTCCTGCCCCACCAGGGTGGGCTTGGGGAGGGGTCTGCAGGGGGCTAGGGGCACTTACGGGGTCTTCTTGTGGGGCTGGGGGTGATCTGGGGTCCCTTTTGGGGCTCTCCCAGGTCCTGCTCTGGTTATTTTTTGGGTCCTTCTTGTCACCCTGGGACCCTGCTGGGGTCACTGGTGTGACTGGGAGGTCACTGGGGGGGTCACTGGGGGGTCACTGGTGTGACTGGGGGGTCACTGGGGGGTCCCTGGGGGTCTGGGGGAGGTGACAGCCCTGACTGGGAGCTGACTGGGAGCTGACTGGTGTTACTGGTGCAGGGGACCTGCAGTGCATCGAGGAGAAGCGCAAGCGGACGCGGGAAACCTTCCGCTCCTTCATCCAGCGCAGCCCCCTGCCCGGTGGGGGCCGGGGGGGGGGCTTTTGGGGGGATTAT